TAGCCTTACACGTTATAATTTTGAATTTCATGTTCTTTCAAGAATGTCTATGATTATTAACTCTCTCAATATGGGCTCAGTCCCTGGGACTGATGAGGGAACCATCTTTACTTGTAGATAGTTTAATACTATAACTTTCAATACAGTGCATGTATCTTCATAAAATTTGGCAGACAATTAGTACACAAGTATTTTGCACACACACACAAATATAAATATATTAAGTATTTGTTTGAATAGTCCGTGTTCAAAGTGATTTCATGTTAAAATTAAAAACACTTTTCTTCATCTCAAAAATCTCACATTTGATTTGTGTATTCTCTAAAACCTCCTAAATACATTTCAAATGTTTGTTTTCACTAAAGTTTTATATTTGATCTGTTATTTTCTCTACCCTAACTCTATAAAATACTGACTGATTTGAACAACCTCGTAACTCTCCACACACACACACACAAATTAATTAAATCTAAATTATCCTTTTTTATCTCTCTAGAATGACTTCAAATTGTAACATGAAACTAATTCGTTTCTCCAAAGTAAATTTAAACTCATAACAGTACATCTAGTTATAATTAAACTTTATTGTTTTATTACCCTTTGAACTGTGTCTAACTACTATTTGTGGCATTATAAGTTGTAAGACACATGGGGAATGTGGAAGTCATGTTACACTATTGAATTAAGTTATCTACGAGCTGCTCACGTGCATGCCTTGTAAAACATTTTTATTATATTATTTATTTTACCTAATCTAACCTTAACTAATCTAAAGAGATCCCTATTTTTACATTTTAGTTACTTTTATAGTAATAAATAAAGAATAAAAATGAAAAATAAGAATTAAAGTACTTCCACAAATCTTGTTTTTTCTTACTTCCACAAACTGTCGATTGTTGATGACACTTAACCCTACCTTTATTTTTTTAATATACTAATGGTAGTAATAAACTAAATAATTCTTATTCAGTTAAATAATGCACCAAAGAACATAGACTAATAACATGCAAATAGTAGAAAATTTCCCTAGCTATCACAATTTTTCTAGCTTTATAACTATGTGACAAGAGCTGCTACAAATTCATCCACGCTTGTCATTATCTTTCCCGTGGGAACAAAGCTTGCGCTAACAATGAAATTGACAATTGTTCATTCAGAAAATAATGTCATACAATACATCATTTGATAGATGAAAACCTTGGCTATCTAATTGTTATAGATAATACAGAATTAAAGTAGGAAAAACTATAAACAAATCTTGAAAAAGATGATGTGACAAGTGGGTGTGGCAAGAGGGACCTGATTTTCTATTTGATAGTTATGTAACTAAACAAAATTGAAGCCTATAAAAATTATGGTTTGTCTGAGCAACGACAATTTTATAATCAGTAATTTACATTTAATTTTGAACTTACTGGAGGGGTGGTGGATAAAATAAAGAGAAGATGTATAGAGGAAATGTGTCACGTGTCACACTAGGAGAAATTCAGTTTTTTTTATATTGCTGTATAAAATTAAGAACTTAAAACTATATACTATTAAAATATGTATTATTAGCTAAGATTTTATGCTATACTAATTGATATAACATAAAAAAAGTGGATTAATAAAATTTTGAATGTAAATCACTAAAACCTCGTGACATGCACAGTAAAAGATGCCTGTCGCAATAGGGTTAAACTATCTAACAATATCAAAACTTCAATAGCAACTGTACAAAATTAATCACACTAATGGTAAGCATTAATATTTATATGTAACAGATTCAAAATATCATCATCAGTAATTTCTAATTTGCATTTAACATCATTTAAACTATTTTATCACAGTTTATAGTAGTTTAATTATTATTTCTCAGAACAATATCCATAGATTATAAAAACAAAAAGAAAAAAAAATTTTTTAATTATAAATATTAAAATTGTTTTCCAATTTTACTTTCATTACACTATCAGTTTCACATTTCCTTGGAAACACATTACCATTTTTTTGTCCAAACAAATGTTAACATTTTCCTATACCAAAAATTATTTCCGATAATACTTACCCCTTCTGATACTTTAGCCTTATCCTGACAACAGTTTTTCTTATCTGCCATCTAAGCATTGTTATGAATTTTATCTCGCTTGCTCCTACCTTTATAACCCACTATATTGGCCAAAGCAATTTAAATCTTGTGATTATCTCCGCCTACATGAATTTGCTCCTATACCAGATCTGTATATAAGCTACCTATTATTACTTCCTGTTCAACTTTCGAGATGGTCCAACTTAGTAGACCCACAACCAGTCATATCATGGGGAGGAAGGGGGGAAAGAGTTATAGGAGGTTAGTATTATCAGAAATACATTTTCAGTATAGGCAAATGTTAACCTTTGAAACACACCTCTTTTCACACTTTAGCTAGAATCCCACATTGACTAGGTGAAGAGGCCAATGAGGTCAAGATCCACATAAAAAAACGTCTGCGAAGAAAAAAAGTGTGAAAATGAGATGTAGTAATAGCACACTAGTGGGGCTGCACTACTTCTGGAACAGGTATACTTTCTGCCCAGACAACATGAAATCTAATTCCTGGGTTGTAAAGACCTACTAGCCACAGAGACAAAATCAGAACCTGGTTAGAAGAACATGAATTAATCCAGGCCCCAACCAGGCAGACAAGTTCCCACATCTCAATACTGGAATTATAAGGCTGTGGACACAAAGCAAGATCCAAAATGTAGTGGCTAGGGCAAGAGAACTGCTTTGTATTTTGTCTTCTTTTGTAACATGGTATTAGAGAAACCCAACCTGAAAGTTACAGAATGTTGCATGTTGAGTCACTGGAATTGCAAAGAAAAGGGAAGCAACACAAAGTGGACATGCATTTGCTCCAACCTAAGGAAGCGCAAAATGCAATAGACCGAACTCAGAATTATGGGACCTGTCATGCCTCACTCAACCTGAGGAAACAGTGATTACCCAGCCTGGGATTACAAATAGAAATCCTAACTCCCCAACCTGAGACACAAGGCAACACCTCCTACTTCTGGAACTACAAGGCGGATGCAAAACAAACTAAGTCCAACCAATGGCACAGGAATTGATGCTCTGCATGTAGAATTATAAGGTGTTGAGAACCCTCTTCCGTGATCATCAAAATACAAGGAATGACCAAAAAGAAGGGCCACACTCAACTCAACCAGGTAAAGAGTCATCTCTAAACAGGAATGATGAAGAGGCTCCTGCATAGACTGGGCCTGCTTCTACCATACATCTGGGAAAACCATCCAGGGTTATTGGTAGGAGGACAACCAGCTTTGCCTTCTTCTCCTTGTACTAGCCTGTACAATCTCCTCCAGTGGGTGATATGACAAATTTGATGAAATGAAATCTGAAGAAGTCTACATTCCTCCCATGAAAGCCCAGAGCAAGCAGTACACACCAACTGACAAACACAACTACTCAAAGCTACAGGGGATAAGTCATGTGACACCATATGATCCCAATGGATAAACAAACAGTGATGGGAATCTCGAAACCCTTCAGCACATGCAACATAACATCAAAGAGCCTGAACCGGGCATAAAAGATGATCTAGATCCAAGCATTACTAAAAATGAGAAATGAAGGGAAGATTGATAGGAGAAAAACCCTATCCCCTTCTCCAGCCACTGAAGTTTTGGAAAGGAAAGGACCTATCGGGATACAACAGAACATAAGTAGAGTTGTAAAAGAGTCCCATCCAAATTATGATAACCCATGCACATTATCTTGCATTTATTATAATT